AATTTTTAATTGTCCAATCTGGCTGGTGTGTGGCATCCTATTCAGTCCCCATCACCAGTATACAGATATTCCAACTTTGGGCCACAAAATAAGACAATATTTTTGTATACAGTGCTGTTAATTTTATTACTTTCTACAGAACAAGTGTGACTTAAGTGTTTATGACTTAGTTTATGTAAATTTTGTACAGAAAAATGAGAATTCTCTCCCTGGTTCTCATGGCAGCTGGCTGCTACATCACGATCACCATTGGACATTCCCATCCTCCCTAAGAAGTGTTAAGCCCACTTTGGAAATTAATTAGAGAACTTTTAAAACCTGTAATTTTCTTTCTTTGTTTTTCTTTAATCAGTTCACTCCAAGTAAAGTGATAATGCTACTAAGATGCAAGTAGCTACTGAGAGTGAAAGAGAACAAGAAGACTTTAAAAGGAACTGGAAACCAAATCCTAAACAGGAAACAAGGGATATACCTCTACTCCTGTTCAAAAGACTAGAGTGTGAACCCTGTGTTAGGTTCACTTGTCTACACTTATTGAAGAGGAAAAAATAAATAGTAAATAAAATTTCAAAGTTTAGGCAGACGTTAAAAGTATAGATCTGATGTAGACTTTAAAAGGAACCAGAAGCCCAATCCTAAACAGGAAACAAGGTATAAATCTCTATTCCTGTTAAATAACATTGAGGAGTGTGAACTGGGCAATTGGCAAACCTATCTATTACCTCTGATTCCTCAATATATTGAATTTGGTCTTCTCCAAAGATGGTTTTGATTTTTGGGCTTCATTCCACTGACAAGTGATAAACTTGTTTGCCTTTTTACAAGTTTCTTTTTCCTTTTTTTTTTTTTTTTTATCAAGTCTACCTGCAGAGATTTTCCTGTCAAATGATAACCTTCAATTAAATCTTTTCAGCTGTTAATAGGTTTGAATATAAAAAAAAAAGAAAATATCAGATTTGGTTGGTTAATAAATAACTTCTGGTAAGCTGACAAGCAACACCAACCTTTTGGTGTAGATATATTACTGTTAACTTGTAAGAGTAAGCAATTTTGGGGGGACTATCTTTCTCACTTGGTTCTTTTGCTCATTACTAAACCTGGAGCCTTTCAGTTGGAAATGTCCAAGAAATATTGGTTTGCATGTTAATTTCCATTGGACGAGAGTGCATGCACAGACAGACAGCTGGGCAGAGAAGCACTTAAAGGATTAAATAACGGGCTTGGGTGCACTTTGTGGATTTTCAGACTTTAGAAATTATTTCCATTTTAAGTTGGTAGCTTGGAAGTTATTTCTTTTGCATTGTCTAAATTTACTTTGACTTTCCTTAGTTTTCTATGTAAAAAAAAAAAAAAAAAATTCATATATTTTGCTCAGAATCAGATTTCACTTTATATTATAAATTTTTTTTTCAAATTATCTGTGCAAACATATAATCAGCATTAAAACAATCTATGTACACTAAAGTTCCCTGTTTGGCCAGGAAAACCTTTAAAAAAAAATGTTTGGTCATTTCATTAGATTCTGAGAAGAAGTTCAGGCAAGAACTTTTCTGAGAAGAAGTTCAGGCAAGAACTTTTCAGCAATATTGTCTCCCTCTCTGATTAGTCAGTTTTACCTGAAGAATCCAGACCCCATCTGAATGAGTTTGATGTAATATTCAAGAAAAATGAATTTGATAAAATATCAATTCTAATACCTTTCCCTATAAAAAAAAAAATAAATAAATAAATAAAAGGTAAAAAATGAAGGAAAATGTTGTGCGAATTTAATTAGTTTTTGCTTGAAACCAATTCTCAGTTTTAGTATTTTTAAATTTTTCTCTGTTACTTTCATTTTGGATTGCTTATATGGAAACAAATACTGACTATAAGAAAATGATTTATTCCATGAAAATAGCTCATCTGCACTTCAGGGTTTACACATTCATTTCACCTTGGCAACAAGTATTGGATTTGATTCTTAAAGAATTCTTTATTCAAAGAACCAATAAACTCATTGAATGCTTTTCCAATTTGATCCTGATAGTTCTTTGCCTGTAAGGATGTGATCTAGATACTTGGTGGGTGGGCAAGGCTGGATGAAGGAACAGTGGTGGTACTGGTGGTGGTGGTGGTAGGGGTGCTAATCCAGAGGATGGAGCTTGAATGAATAAAGTGCTATAGTCTCTATTTTCAATTTTTGTAAGATGATTTTTGCAACCTGATCCTCAAGCAAAATGACTACTTTTCTATTCACAAAACTCAGCACTGTTTGTTTGAGGCTTCCTATCTCAATCCTGCCATTGTGCACATAATCTTCAGTTATTATACATAATATATTTTTCATCATTTAGTCAATTGAGCAGTACAAAAACTTATTAGTCTCATACTATTGAATATGATAGCGAGCCACACTCTATGCATGCAATATTTTCCCCAATTCAAGTGAAAATTGTTGTAATTTATTGCTAATTGCAGAAATTGAAGTCATTCCAACAGTATCAGTTCTTGTATATTTTCTGGCCGAGGTTTCTGGATCATTTCACATTGGTCTTCAAATTTTCATTGATTATTGATTTGAGGCTGACCTTTTTCTCTGCATTTTTAATCTAAAATTTCCATTTATAAAATTTTTTTCAAGTTAAAATCTTCCATATTTGGGTGTAAGAGCGAAGTCACGTTCTTTGCTACTCAAACTCCATTATGGCGCCCAAATTTTAACTTGGATAAAACACAAATCATTGATTGGAAGACATTTGTCTCTGTATCGGAAGTAAATGGACAGAGGTTTCTACTGAATAAACATCAAATAGAAAAACATGAGAATTAAACATTTAGAAAAATGTTCTTCAAGCTCAAAACAAAGTTGAATAACAAATCTATTCTTCTCATTGAACATTTCAAATGCATATTCATGCATGCATACAAATATAGTTTAAGAGAATATTTATTTACATACATACACTCACCCACACACGTGCTGAAAAGTTCTTGGCTCAGACAAGATTTTTTAAAAAAATAATTGATTTGATTATTTTGTCAAATTTTAAGAAGTGAATCTGACTGAAAAGGATTCAGTGACCCTGTGTGTGTGTGTCTTCACTCATTAAAGATTGAATTTTTTTGTAATAAATTTGGAATTTTAATTTGTATTTACAGTGCTTGAAAATTTATGGCTACAAAAGAAAGGAAAAGGAGTTAAAAAAAATAGACATTTAAAAGAAAAGAAAATTAATGTCTGTTGGACAAAATTAGCTAAAGGATATGAAAAAAAAATAAAGGTGTGATGAAATATATTTCTTCAGTGTGTAAGTAACAAATGCAATGATGTCCACTTTGTTACATTGGTTGAATCGATAGAAATTCTTACTGCCATTCATCTTGACTGCAAGAAAAGATAATTTGCTTTCTTTTATTACTGGTGACTTTTACTCTTACCATTTATTCATTTTCTAACATTCTCTCTCTCCTTATATTTTTACTTTCCTCTCTCACTTTTTTGTTGACTTTTCTCTTTGTTTTTATTTTCATGCATTTCCTTCTCTGTTCAACTTTCTATATCTCCCTCTCTTTGCCTTTTTTCCCCCCTTTTCATCCTTTTTTGGAATTTCCCACAGGTTGCAAGAAAGTCAGGCCATCTTAAACCCTTGACTGACCTTCCCAACCTCCCGTTTCTTTTCCTGGCCTGCCCACTAGAATGATTGGGCTTATAGCCAGGGGAAAGATGGCTCCAGAGCATGGGTCAATTACCACATTTCTACTCATTTGTGTTTCAAGATGTCCAAAGAGCAGACAAAGGGTCATGGCTGGGCATAGCAGCACATTTCAGATTTCATTTTGCTACAGCAGCCACAACTTGTCTTATCTCTCCCTCTTCTATCAACTTCTATTTCCATTAACATGCACTGTGTTCTAAAAGCATAGAATGCCCACAAACATAATACACTTGAGAAATTTGGATATATATATATATATATGTGTGTGTGTGTGTGTGTATATATATATATATATATATATATATATATATATATGTGTGTGTATGTGATATATATATATATATATATATATATATATATATATATATATATATATATATATGAAAGTGAGAGTAAATGAATTATTTTAAAGTTTAAAAAATGTTTAAAATTTCAACATTATTTTTTTAGTGGATACTGATTGATATTTGAGTAGATATTTGGTTTATTTATTAAACAGTATATTTAATTTCATCTGTTGGCTTGAACATTTGAGAAATCTTGTGTATGTTTTGACTCCCCAAATGTGTGTGAAAGACACATGCACATATCTATGCTGAAAAGTTTTCAGCCCAACTGATAAGCCCTTCTTTTGCAAAATTCTGTTTGCACATTTGGTTAGATTTGAAGTGTATGTGCATGCATACATAACTGAAGTCCTACATATATTTTACTTGAATTTTGATCTGAAAATTTCCACTGTAATGTTGAAGCTATGATTAATATACAGCCCTGAATTAAGTGCATTGGCAAGACAGAACATAATTAAAAATGTATTTTATTAAATGAATGCTTTTTGTTTTTCATCATCATGTTGTTGGTTTAATTAATACAGCTCCCCCCCATGCAAACAAACACCCCCCCACACACCCAATAGCCCCTCCCCCTCCCACACACTTGGTATCAATACATGAGATTTATTATGATTATGTTTGCTTATATTTTGCCTTTCCTTTATGTAAAGATAATTTTTAGTGTTTAAATACATTATGTAGTCTCATTCTTTGTCTTTTTCTGTTTCCGCTCTTGTTTCAATTCTCTTTCTATAATCCTGCCTTTGTTTTCTTTCCACCTCTGTCTCACTGTATGGTATTCTGTGTTTCAATGCCATTTTTATATGACTAAACATAATGTCCCCCTCTCCCCGATAACCATTCCTCCATCCAACATCTGCTGAGTGATAAACAAGCTGCAAGACTTGCTTTTCGGCCATCTCTTCTTTTTCATCTTTTGATTGGCCAATTCTTTATCGATTACAACATACAGTCTTTCTGTTTCCTCCATCATTTAATCAATTTGCTCTTTCCACTCTTTCTCTCTATTTTCTCTCCCGCTGACTCTTTCACTCTCTCTGATCCCACTGGCTCTCTCTCTCTCTCTCTGTGCTCTCTCACTCTCAGCTATCTCTATCTGTCTCTGTGCTCTCTCTGTGCTCACCTCTTTCTCTCTGCTCACCTCTTCCTCTCTCTCTCTCTCTCTGCTCACCTCTTCCTCTCTCTCTCTCTCTCTCTCCCTCTTCCTCTCTCTCTCTCTCTCTCACCTCTCTCTCTCTCTCTGCTCACCTCTCTCTCTCTCTCTCTGTGCTCACCTCTTTCTCTCTCTCTGTGCTCACCTCTTTCTCTCTCTCTGTGCTCACCTCTTTCTCTCTCTCTGTGCTCACCTCTTTCTCTGTGCTCTCTCTCTCTCTCTGTGCTCTCTCTCTCTCTCTGTGCTCTCTCTCTCTCTGTGCTCTCTCTCTCTCTCTCTCTGTGCTCGCTCTCTCTCTCTCTCTCTGTGCTCGCTCTCTCTCTCTGTGCTCTCTCTCTCTGTGCTCTCTCCTCCCTCTCTCTCTCTCCTCGCTCTCTCTCTCCTCGCCCTCTCTGCTCGCCCTCTCTGTGCATATTTTCATTTTTTCTTTCTTTCTTTTCATTGGCTAAACTTCTTCATATTGCTTACTGCATTCAGTCTTTTCTGCTTTCCTCATTAATGAATCCATTCCAAATGTTTGATGGACTAGGCTCATTGTCAACTTCATTGTCTTCATATTTTTGTCTCTGTTAAGATTAGTAGGAATGGTGTGGGTGGAGATATGGCGTTGACTGGATTTCCCCAATCTCTGACTTGAATAAAAGATAAAGTCCAATCTGATCTGTTTGAAGATGAGATAATGTCTTTCTTTAGCTGATACCTTGTAATGCGCTTAGTACTCTGCAGAAAAATGAACAGGATATTTGCAATAATGTTACTGTAAAATTTGCACTGAGATAATTTAACAACACCGACTGCAACTTGGTTATCATTTTATCTGTTTAATTCATATCATCACTTTGTTGGGTTTTTTTGTTTTTTGTGTCTGGTTTTTCTGAGAGGAATGTTTGTAAGAGTCAGCTGTTATATTCTAAAAATTGGTTTGGTATTTTATCATTAAAATCAAAGACTTGCTTGTTCTTCATGCCAACTGTTAAAAAAGAAAAATGCCTGTATGAGATCGGCTTGCAATATTTTAGAATCAATTTTTATTTTATTTTAGTAGCTTGGGAGTCGGGAAAATAGGAAAAAAAAATAGAATGAACAAATTATATAATTTTGACAAATCCAGATATTTATTCCAAGCTGTTTGACTCCTATAAATTTTCCCAGACTGAGATGTTTTCATTTCTACTCAGAAAATTGCATTCAACTGCTAAGATGCTGTTTATCCTGATATAAATTTACAAGTAATAATATAAATTTCCTTGAAACAGTAGTTATCAGATTTATATTATTATTTTAGTGAGTTTCATCCTCACTGGGTGCCTTAAACCTATAGCCTTATGTCAAAGTAAACAGCATAACTTTAAGGCAACTTAAGGAGGGATTATTAGCAAGTTAGTCTTGTATTACTATTCTAATGATTTCAATTATTATTGGTTGCTTTAGTGACTCATAGAGGCAGAAACCAAGTAATTAGTGTAAACAGTTCATTGCTCATTTGTAACCTAGTGCCATATTCAATTAAGCTTAGTAGATTTTATTAATCCTTCTTTGTCTTAATTTTGCTGGCTAATTTTTTCCCCCCCAATTAAGAAAATATTGTAGTGCAAATGCTGAAATTGTTCTAGAGTTTGTTTTATTTCTTTACATCTACAGGGTGTGGTGGGTAAATTGTCTCTATTTTATATTTTTAATTTCATTTGTCGACTGAGCACCATAGTAGGGTCAGTTGGAAACTGTCTGTGAGAAAAAGAGTACCATGGTGCAATTCACTCTGCCAGAAGTTTGGAAACAGCAAACTGTACTGCTTGACATTCATGCTGGAAACTCTAGTATGAACATTTTAGAGTGTTTAGGTGTCGATCCGGGGACAGTGCAGAGGATTCGGAAAGAGTTGGATGATTCTAATGGCGATTAGGAAGGTAAGGCAGCTTGGAAAACATGCTCTGATCATTCTTTCTGATCAGAAAGAACTCTCAAATTTTTTGATGAAGGTCTCATACTCAATATGGGGACCTCCATCAAGTAGTACCTTGAGAAGGTAGTGCTGCCTTGGATCAAGTGGATGGCTGTTGGAAGACCCAATGTCTGGCAACAGGACTCTGCACCATACCACACAAGCAGGAGAACCCAGTCATAGCAGTCAAAGAATTTGTTACCACACCACCCCTAACATCTGGCCATCTAACTCCCCAGACTGCCACCCTCCTTGATTATTATGAATGGGATGCAGTTGTACTAGAAACCAATAAAACTCCTTGTGTAAGACCAAAGTTGAACTGAAGGCAAGGATTATAGCAGCATTTACCAACTTTAACAAAAGAGACTGTTCAGAAGAGTTACAAGAGATTCCAAAGTCACCTGGAAGCCATGGTTTACGCCAATGCCAATTTTATTGAATAAATTTACTCTTTAGTATTTCAAGGTATTTTTGTGTAATTTTGGTAAATATATCTGTTAAAATGTTGGTGTTATTTTCATTTTTGTGTAATTTAGACAACAGTTTATATGTCACAATAAGGAACATATAAGAAACATTTATAAATTTAATGTGTTTCACTTTATATTTAAGCTTCATCAGAAAATTCTGGTATTTTTTTTTTTTTTTTTTGTGTTCTTTGTTTCTCATTAGTTAAGCAGACATCATGTGCATTTGTATATACTTGACAAGACAGATACCCATGACATCTGCTTAACCTTACTGGTTAAGCAGACGTCATGGGTATCTGTCTACATAAACACAAAAATAAAAAATACCAGAATTTTCTTTTCATCATATTTCATTTTCTGATGAAACTTCAATAGCAAATAAAATGTATTAAATTTATAAATATTTCCTATGTTCTATATTCAATCATTCTGCCGAATTCTAATCCATATTTTATCTCTGTTCACACACACACACACACACACACACACACACACTTATTGTGGAGGCATGGTGATGTAATTGAGGAATCAAAGAACCAAGTTCGAATTCCAGTTGAATCTATTACATGCTAATACCCTTGGGAAAGGTATGAATCCTTTTCTCCTCCTCCTCCTCCTCCTCCTCCTCCAGCTATGAGTAAATAGCAGGACAGCCTTGGATGGCAACTTGTCTAGGAGAGGGGCAACTCTGAATTCAAAACCTGCAGGTAGTCTACACCAGGTCTCTGTATTCAGCTCTTCAAAAAGTGTGGTTGGTTCTGCACAAAACCTTCACCACTATAATTCCTTCCTAGGAACTGACAGCCTGGTGCCTGAACCTCATATGTTTTAAAAAGGTCCCCCTGTAGGTGCAGGTCAACAGCTTGCATCAATCAATGATTGGAGAGTCCATGATATATTCATATAATTTGATATAAAAAATTCCAGTTAAAGAAAATTAACCAGATGTAAGCTTAGTTTTTTTTTTTTTTTTTTTATTATTCCATTTAATTAAAATTGGGATTTGACAGTATTGTAGATCTGAATATACAATGCTTTTTACACTATTTACATTGTTAGGACTGTTGTCCTCATCTTCATTGTCATATTCACAAAGTTTTGGCCGTTGTTTGCTCTGGCCTTCTTCAAGTGCTTTACATTATAATTTTGAACTTCCCCTTTTAGTCCACTGGGGGTATATTGTTCTGTTTTTGACATTTCATGCCTTTTCTGGGTATCCCAGTTTCAGTTAATTCTCTTTAGTAACTCAATTCTCTAAGTTTTCTTCACCTCTGCTGTGGTCAGGTATTGAACTCACAACTCTTTGGGTGAAGTTACTAGATTACTTCAACCAATGATTTTATCCATTGGGTCATTGAATATAGTAATAAAGATAATGATAATAACAGTCTGAATGATGTAAATAGTGTAAATAAAATACCTTGTCTCAGACATCTAGACAGCTACAATGTTTTTTATATATCAGATACAGAATGATTTTTTTTCTTTTCGTTAAATCCTGAAATAATAAAACTAACAAATAATTCCATTAGATCAGGACAAAATGATTCTGCTTTTTATCGTGATTCAAAAGAGTTGAGCTGTAAAGAGAGAGATTATTTAAAAGCTAACCAAAATTATCCTTTTGACTTAGACAAACACCTTGGAGCTATGATTCACCATTGCAACATTTCCTTCAATTACCCATAGTAAGTCAGACAGTTGGCCTCCAGGTTTTGTTATAATCAATTTTCTATGATTATCTAGGATTTTATTTGGACAGAAAGATGTTGCCTTTCTATTTGTGTGATACTAAATAATCAATTTATCAGTAAGCAAGAAAGGGAGAGAGGAAAAGAAAAAAAAAAAAAAAAAGGTTTGTTTGCTTAAAAAATTCTGTGTTTAGCAAGTCAGTATAAAAATTCAATTGTAGTTCAACTGGTGGTGTTTGTTTTCAACTGATAGGAATGTTTTTCTTAATAGTTCCTTGGTGTAAACATGATCTGGAGACAATTATTTTCTAGGACTTAACAAAGGATAATAGAGGCTGTAGATCGAATGTGATGGTGGGATAAAGAGTATTGTCTACTGTCATAGTTGGGAGGTGAGTTGGGTGTTGTTTTTACTGTGCTTTTTACATGGGTCAAGTTATGCATTTCTCTGACATCTTAACTCTTTCCTCCTCCCAGCCATCTATACCATCTACATTTGGAGAGTTTAATTACAAAACAACTTTGTCATCTGCATAAAAAAAAAATGGTTTTGATGAGAGTGATGATAGCAAAGAAAATTAATTGACTAACTCCATGTTCTCCACCTGGTGAGATTTGAAAATTTCCTTGTAATTAAATGGATATAGGAATTTCTATTTTGAAGAATTTTTTCTATATAAGCAAGGAACATGCTTATATATGGACACATATTTTTAAATGAGTGTGTGTTTCTCTTTCATAGTTTTTTTTCTCTCTCTCTCTTTCATAGTTTTTTTTTCTCTCTCTCTCTTTCATAGTTTTTTTCTCTCTCTCTCTTTCATAGTTTTTTCTCTCTCTCTCTTTCATAGTTTTTTTCTCTCTCTCTTTCATCATAGTTTTTTTTTCTCTCTCTCTCTTTCATAGTTTTTTTTCTCTCTCTCTCTTTCATAGTTTTTTTTTTCTCTCTCTCTCTTTCTCTCTCTTTCTCTCTTTCAGTTTTTTCTCTCTCTCTTTCTCTCTCTCTCTTTCATAGTTTTTCTCTCTCTCTTTCATAGTTTTCTCTCTCTCTCTTTCATAGTTTTTTCTCTCTCTCTTTCATAGTTTTTTCTCTCTCTCTTTCATAGTTTTTCTCTCTTTCATAGTTTTTCTCTCTTTCATAGTTTTTCTCTCTTTCATAGTTTTTCTCTCTTTCATAGTTTTTCTCTCTCTCTTTCATAGTTTTTCTCTCTCTTTTCATAGTTTTCTCTCTCTCTTTTTTTTTTTCTCTCTCTCTCTTTCAGTTTTTCTCTTTTTTTTTCTCTCTCTCTCTCTTTCATAGTTTTTCTCTCTCTCTCTTTCATAGTTTTTCTCTCTCTCTTTCATAGTTTTTCTCTCTCTCTCTCTTTCTCTTTCAGTTTTTTCTCTCTCTCTCTCTCTTTCTCTTTTCATAGTTTTCTCTCTCTCTCTTTCATTTTTTCTCTCTCTCTCTTTCATAGTTTTTCTCTCTCT